GCCGAGCCCTGCGGCACCGGCAGGCGGCTCCGAGCGCTGGGAAAATGCCCCGGGGCACGGACGGGCCCAGCGCGGAGCCGCCGCCGGGGAAGGGCGGCTGAGCACACACAGGGGCGGCGAAGGCACCGTCCCGTTCCAACTAGGGAGCACTTTAACAGCTCGGAAAAAGCTTGAGCTACTTTAGCTACACGCTTCAGCAAATAGCGTTGCTGAATATCAAGTGTCGTTCCTTTTTAGTTCACAGAATATTCTGATTTGGAAGGGACCCAAAAGGATGATCAAGTCCAACTCCTGGCGCTCGCCAGGGCCCACAGCATGTGCCTGAGGGCCTTGTCCGAATGCTGCTGGGACTCGGGCTGGCTTGGTGCTGCAAGCACTGCCCTGCTGCCCTACCACCCACCCTCTGAGTGACAAAACTTCTCCTAATATCCAACCTAAGCCTCCCCTGACACAATTAAAGGCCAATCCCTCGGGTCCTGTCACCGACTGCCAGAGAGAAGAGATTGTTGTCCGTCCCTTTGCTTCCCCTTGTGGAAAAGTCTGACTGCAGTGAACCCCCTCCCCAGTCTCCTGTTCTCGTTGTCTGGGTACTGCCAAATCTTCATTTGTACCGTTCAATATGTTCCTTACGGACAGTTTAGGAAACAAACCACTTCCTAAAGTAGATATGGGAATGCTTTTCTGCTTTTTAGCAGCCTCTGAAGACCTTTTGACACAGGTATTGCACCAGGAAGGGGATGGGAGGACCAGAGTACCAGAGTGAGCAGTAGCAGGATAAAGAGGCCTTGGGTTAAAGCAGTGGACCAGCATGTTTGTTTTCTAGGCTGTGAGACCTATATTCTCCTTTCCCATCTCTCCTGAGCCTGATATTTGTTTATTTATAAACTGAAGACTGCCTAAAATTGGGGATGTTGCTGGGAAGCTGTTTGGACAGTGGCTGCAGCTGTGAGAACGTAGCTGAAGCCAGGAGATGGGTGGTTCTGGATGTGAGCTACCAGCCCACGGGCCTAGAGCTGGAGGAACATTCAGGGCTGATGCTGCCATTGCTGAGCTTTTCCATAGGGACCTTCCAGCAGGAGGCAATCACAAGGTGGCACAGTTACAGACACAGGGAATTGTCTGAGAACTGGAGTTTCTTTACTTTCCTGCTCTCCCTGCTGTCCATGCCTCTCAGGCAGAGACTTTTCTACTCGTGTGCCAGTTTGTTACCCTTTCCCAGGTGTTTCCCTCATTATGCCTCTCAGACACTCTGAAACTTTTGGCTAGGGACAGGGAAAGGGACAGACACATGACCATAAACCTCCAGCGTTTGTCATATCCTCAAAGAGGGAGAAACCTGTAACCTGTGTATTACAAGACAGGTCTGTAGACAGGTTTGTAGCTGTGCTAGAACAAATCTCATACCTGTATAATTTTTAATTGTTATCTAAGTGCAGACCAAATCTTTTTGTGGCAACTTTCCACACGTCTTGTTAGATTAGAACCACCTTGGATTTTCAGATTTTCTGCTATCAGATGTCTGCTAGAGATGCCCTGGAGTTACACCACAGAGCTGTGGTTGGTTGTGCCAAAAGAGAGGCATGAATTCCCTGTGACTGGTGAGCGCTGATGAGGAACATACTGGTGGCCTTGGAAATCTTGCAAGAAGAATAGGCAAGCCAAGTTCTCAAGGGCTGAATTTTTTGTGGATAGTCTGGAAAACAGTGACCACTCAGTGATACTGAGTTATCCTCTGGCCTCCCTGGTGTGGTGGAAAGTATTTCTCAGAGGCAAAGGGACTGTTTGTTTACTCAACATCATGTGGACAACTTTCATCTTCTTTTCCCAGCTATAGATGTGCTGTTAAACTCACACTTGGCAACAGTTAATGTGAAGATGTTTGACAGCCACTGGAGAAATCTGTTCAAGAGGGAAAATATTAGCTCAATAACAGGACTTCATTATGTCTTATAAATATTTAGCAGTCCTGTAGTTCAGCAAAATAGCAGCTGAGTTATTTATTCCATTTTTGTCATTTTAGCCCTTGAAGAAAGTGGTATGCAAGTTCCCAGAAGTGTATCATGGTAGCTGTAGCAAATGTCCATTCCATCCCCTAGATGAGTATAATTGAATCTAGATACCCCTAGAGGAGTATAATTGAATTTAAGTGGCTAAAAAATAATTACATTGCCTACTGTATACTTTCCACTTTGTCTTTAATCACACAAAGATTAGACCCACTATGTCAATCTTGGTTCTGTTTAACCACAGCCACAAACATTTGTCTTTTGTAAGGTCTTTGATAATGTGCTCACTCAAAGGTTTTCATCCAGTCTTAAAATCAGGGCCTGGTGGTGGCTGAGTTTCTGAAAATTTGTCTTGGCAAGTTGAGTGGGATTGTATGTATTAGCTACTGAGGTGAAAGATTTAGCATACCAATAAAAACCTTCTGTGGGGAAAAGAGAGAAGAGTAAGGTCAAGGAAATCCTGAATGATTCTGGTAATTGCTGATCAAAGCTAGAGGATTACAGGGGAACCCAAAAGAGGCTAAAAAATCCAGCAGATGTTTAGGATCAGGTTGCCCAAGGCTAGCTTGACTGCCTTTACTAGGCTGTGCAGTGAGATC